TATATTTAACCAGTAAAATTTTTAATACCAAAATATCGTTTAAATAAAAATAAGCTTTTATATGTTAATTGATATTTTAACAAACAAAAATATAAAACTCTTATTTACAATCAATGGTGCATCGGTAAACAAGTAAACATATCAAAATTAACAACCCACGCAGGGTCAGACCATTGATTAGGGTCTTTATAGCAGTATTTTGTATGATGACCACTGTTAAAATTATTGATTTAATTATCTGTACGGCATCATTTCACCTAGCAGCAGCAGCAGGGAGTTCCGTCCATCCATGTCTGTAATGATTGACATTTCATTAGTTTGCTCTTCATAGCTTCCAATCATGATTTGGATTCCAAATTTGCTTCTAAAATCAATTAATAAAACACTTAATCAATATATTTATGCTAGAGAAGAACTTACACTATGATTAAATGATTAATTTAGTCAACTTGTAAATATTTATTTTACAGTTTACCTGTAGTATTCATTAATTATCGCTTTCCAATTTAGTTCCAGAAGGAAGAATTACTGAGAGTTACATCTTCAACAATACTGATAATCATTCATTGACGGTTCGCTGGATAACTTGATGAAGGTCATAAAGTCTGAATATCTGGGCATATTTACTTTGTTATCATTGGTACATCTAAAATTATTTTTCTATTATTTACATTAACTTATTAAACCTTATTCATTTCAAAAGTACCTTTGTCAACGTTGCGGTGTCAGTAGACTCTGCTGAATGAAAATTTTCCAGACACCAATATTGCGGTAATCAGCAAACACATAAAGCTTGACATACCTTTTCCTAAATAATTAATAATCCTTTCATATCAATCAGGTACTCAATATCGTGGTGAAAATGACCAAGTGTCAGACATGTTTAATATTTTGGCCAAAGCCACCGCTTTGAGGGTTAAGAAGTCAAACATATATTACGCTTACTGCGGGTTAGCCACTGATCATTTACCCCATTCTTCATCTATTGTTCATCTTTCAGACATCAATATCACTTTCAACAAGTTTATTCTCAACTATTTAATCATTTTCACAGCAGGTACACTTAATATTCTTATGTTCATGATAGCACGGCGCAATTGTTTACTTATAAATTAATTTTATTAAATTCGAATAAAATAAAATAGTGTATTTGATTATAAAAAAAAATATGGCCAAAACTGTAGGAACATAGAATCACACAGTGTTTTTCATAGAGCGCCTAAATTAAATACTCAAGTTTAAAGATCAACTTTACCTTATACCCAACAAGCCCAGGTCTCCCCTTTGTCATAATATAACCATTTTATTATACCTAAAATTCTTGTATCGTTTTTATAGAAAGGTAGGTATACTTATATGTTTGTAGTTATAGTGTAGACAATATTATGTGAAAATGAAATCAGTATTATAGCTACCATGGTGTTTTTAATACATTTTTAGATGACTTACGTCCTTTCTGCACAATGATTGTAATAAGTAAATTTATTACAGGTAAATCAAAATATAGTATTGCATAAACAAATTGAAGAAATTTGAAATATAAAATATCACTTAAATTATATCAGAATTAATGTATTAGAAATGTAACAAAATATTATATACATAAAAATACAATTTACTTTCAAAAAATATTTACAAGAAATGAATGTTTTAAAATTTTAAAACATGTTACTCTTCTAAAGCAGAGAACGTGTTAGGATCTATAACATCATGATATAAGTCAAGTGTTTAACACTTAGATTCAGTAAAATAAGTAAATTTTACATACAGTTCTTCTGGTATTACAACTTAGAACTTTTGCAAAGAATATCGTATACATAGTGTTTACCATCAATCATTTCCTTTTATTCTTTGAATATATTTTACTTCATTTCCAGTTTTGATTTTTAAATACTTACTTGTTGTTTAATACTATTAGAAATACAACCTTTATTTTAAATAGAATCAAATTATTAAAAATTGTCACTATAAGGCATTCTCAAAAGGCATAAAAAATAACTAAGTAATTGAAATATGATACTAAGTATTCACACTTCAAAATTTCTATAGATCATATTTAGAAAATAAAAACATATTTAAGAAAAATATTAGTGAAGATATTTGGTGTATCTCTGTATATATATTACATCAATTTATAGGTTTCATCGTTTATTAAAAGTTGTATATTATTATATTTTTCGTTAATTAGTCTATTAGAGTACTGTATTAAAGTCAATCTAGTAATATATTCTTTACTTTATATAATAAACAGAACATTTAATTTCTAATAATGTTAGTATAATATGATATATTATGACTGATAAGTAAAAGGTATAGTATACTAGTAATATATTAATTTTCTTTTTTTATGTCTTTTATAATTAATATTTTTTTTTTTTTTTTTTTTATTTTTTTTTGTTATATAATTATAATATTATTATTATAATATATATTATATTATAATATAATACTATTATACTTATTATACTTTTACTTATCAGTCATAATATATTTGTTATATATCATTATTAAATTATTAAGTATGTCTGCTTTTATGATAAAAAGTAAAGAATATATTACTACAGATTGACTTTAATACAGTACTCTAATAGCTACAATTAACGAAAAAATTATAATAATATACAACTTTTAAGTAAACGATGAAACCTATAAATTGATGTAATATATATACAGAGTGATACACCAAATATCTTCACTAATATTTTTTTCTTAAATTATGTATTTTATTTTTTCTAAATATGATCTATGAAATTTTGAAGTGTGAATACTTAAGTATCATATTTCAATTACTTAGTTATTTTGCTATGCCTTTTGAGGAATGCCTTATAGTGACAATTTTTTTTTTTAATAATTTGATTCTCATTTTAAAAATAAAGGTTGTACACTCCTAATAGTGTTAAACATACAAGTAAGTATATTTAAAAAATCCAAAACTGGGAAATGAAGTAAAATATATTTTCAAAGAATAAAAAGGAAATGATTGTTAGGTAAACACTATGTATACGATATTCTTTGCTTAAAGTTCTAAGTTGTGTAATTACTGCAGAAATTGAACTGTTATGAAAATTATACTTTATTTTGGTATCTAAATCTGATTATTAAATACACTTATGACTTATATCATGATATTTATAGATCCTAACACGTTCTCTGCTTTTAAGAAGAGTAAATAAATGTTTTTAAAATTTTTAAAACATTCATTTCTTGTAAATAATTTTATTTTGAAAGTAAAATTGTATTTTTTTTTTATGTATTAATATTTTGTTACACTATACCAATTATATTGAATTCTGATATAATTTAAGGGTAATATATTTTTATATTTTCAAATTTTCTTCAATTTTGTTTGTGCTTAATACCTATATTTTGACTTACCTGTAATAAATTTACCTTATTACAATATTGTAGACGAAAAGGACGTAAGTCATCTAAAAAAAGTATTAAAAAAAACACCATGGTGTATGCTATAAATAAACTACATTGTTTCACATAATATTGTCTGCACATACTAACCACAAACATATATAAGTATACCTACCTTTCTATAGAAAAATATAAAACACGATACAAGACATTTTGCCAGGTATAATAAAAATGGTTATATTATGACAAAGGGGAGACCTGGGCTTGTTGGGTATAAGGTAAAGTTGATCTTTAAACTTGAGTATTTAATTTAGGCGCTCTATATGAAAAACACTGTGTTGTATTCTATGTTCCATTACGATTTATGGCCATATGTTTTCTTTTTTTATGTATTAATCAAATACACTATTTTATTTTTATTCGAATTTAATAAAATTAATTTATAAGAAGTAAACAATTACGCCATTATTTTAATATAATTTAAATCAACGTATATAAAAGTTTAAAACGTGTTTTAGTATTGATGGTATTGTTTAACTATAATTATGTTCATACTATTCATTATTGTTTTAAAACAATGAAAACGTTATTATTGGTTATATTTTTTAGTCTTTTAAAATCCAAACATGTTGGCTTGTATATTTCATAAATCATTTCATACAATAATTAGTATTTATTTATATAAATGGTTAGGTTAGATTATTTCAAAAACTAGGTTTTTATGTTTACACTTAAAAACGCGCTCTTTATTCATAAAAAAATTAAATCCAAAAATCTTAGTTTTCATTAGGAATGAGCTGGAAATACTGACCGTTGTTCACTTTATATGGCGTAAAACTACATAATTTTGATTTTTTGGGAAAAGAGGGTATTAACTAGTATGTAATAAAAACTCTAATACAGATTAATGGATCACCTGAAAAAAAAAATTAAAATGAAGTGGGATATAATTTTTAACTTTTTTCCTCTTAGGCACTGTTTATACAAATTAATAATAATTACGATTATAGGTAATTTAAATTAATTGCGTAGCGTCGTGTAAGTGTGTACCTAACTGAGCTTTAAAATCTCAAAATAAAGTATTACCTATGTGCTATACCCACAGAAAAAAAAAAATGAATGGTTGACCAACTAGCCCTGGTCTGCGGGATATAACAATAATCAGGGGCGGGTCATATTAAGTTTTCACGAACTGGAACTACTCGTATATTATTTTTCATCACTTTCGTCTTCGAACCTTAATCGAACTGTCAAAGTTTAAAGGATGTCCATAGAAGTTGAACACGACAAATCGAAATATTCAAAATAATTATAGTAGGATTACTAGTGTTTCACGTAATAAATTAAAACGAAAATAAAAATTGAATACATTTCACTGTCATCATCGAATATTTTAAATAATTTGATTATTGTGTTCGAACTATTCGTGTTGCTGATCGAGATGTCCGAATACGAACTTCCAAATACTTTCAAGGCGTTCGCGAGTCCGATGAGTTCGAAAACACCCACCCCTGATAATAATATTAATAATAAAAATAATAACGATAATAACAATAACAATAGTGATACATAACGCGTAACGCAACAATAAGGACCCATGCATTACGGGCGAGAATACAATCAGTGTTTCGGTTTACCTTGTACCGGGTTGAACCTGCGCTTGATGTAGTTCAGGAAACGTCCGGTTATGGACAGATTCCGGTGCCTCTGCGACCGTCTCCTGCCGTCCGGATGATGGTGGTGTTGAGCCTGTTGCCGCGACGAACCGTCGCCGCAAGATCCGCCGCTGGTTCCCACGCCTCCGCCTGCACCGCCGCAGCCGTCGGGACCTGCGCCACCCGCTTGCTGACCGTGATGATGGTTCTGATTGTGGTGGTGGCCGTGGTGGTGATGGTGATGGTGGTGGTGCTGTTGCGACGTCGACCCGTGTTGGTGCTGTTGCGTCTGCTGTCGGTTGTCCCGCCGTTCCCGGCCGTAATTCTGATGCGCTACCACGCTGTACATGACGATGGCACCGCTGACGTAGTAGTCGACCGCCGCAATCAAATCTCATTCGCTCATCGCACACGACCTGCGAGACACACGCGAATAGTGGTTTAACTTCAGACATCGATAATCATTCATAGGTACTTATTACAATTGATGATAATATCTAACAACGACGATTCGGTGTCGTCTTTTATCGAGATTTCCCGCTTTTACGAAGTGGAAAACGAAATAGACGGTTTACTCCACCATACGATATAATATATCTTATATACTCGTAAAAAGTAAACTTATTCTAATGATCATTATTTGTACCCTGCCATTGACGTTCTAAGATTTAATTTCCAACGTATAACGATTAAGAAAGCTATTAGATTAATTTTATTCTAAAAATTTTAACTTGTCCTTTTGTCTATGTGAGATTGACTTCATCACATTTTTTATTTTACTCTTCTAAATAAAAAAATAAAAAAAATAAAAATTGAAATTGAAATTTGTAATATTGAACTTCTATATTTAAAAGCACTTGAAACTAAAACAATAAAAATTTGAAAGAGTCGATCCGAATAAGACTTTTTCATCAATTTGTCATACTTCAGTGACGAAATTTGAATACATGTTTAATTCTTATTGTTTAATTACATAAATTGGTGCATTGGAAAAGTTTTTTTTTACGTCGTCTATGAAACTTGTGAATATCGATCGCGGATGGGTTTCTTACGTGTTTACACATACCTAGTATTTCTCTAATGATAAACTTGCTACAATAATACACTGAGAAATGCTAAAAAGACATTGAATAAAACACGACCACCCCGAAGAATCGCTGCTTCGAATCCCCATACCATAGACCTAAAGAACATATATAATATCATTTAATTTATTGTTAAAAAGCTTAAAAAAATAATTAAAATATGATATTCAATTTTCTTAATTTGAACTCAGTACAAATATAATAATATAATAAACTTTATGATAAAAAAATGTTACGTAAAAGTTCATGCCAAAATTTGGCGCCTACGTTTTTATGGTGCTAGTAATTAAGTAGTAAATATTATTAAAACTTGTTTACTTATAGTCAATAAGTATACATTTTGAGTATATATTTATACACATAAATAATGTTACGATTAATCAAGGCTTACTATGTAAGAATATTAAACGTTTAAACGAAAATAAATGTTATAAAATCTGTTTCAAAAAAATTATTACTATTATTATTATTGTTATTATTCATTCAAAAATATTTTTATTAAAGTCATATAATTGTTCTAGTTATTGCTCTTCAATATTAAATATTCAAATACAAAAATTATGATATTTGATTTTGTATAAATATTGTATTCCTATAACATATCATCTCACTTATAAAAGAAATATTTATTGATCTAATATCGTATTTAGAGTTCACAGTGTTTGTCCTTGAAAAAAAATACTACTTTTTTGTTTGTTGTATATTTTAAATGTATAAAATGGTTAATTTGGAGGCCTTATTAAAAAAAAAAAGTAAATTAAATAATATATAATTTATTGACATTATTTATAGAGATTAAGAGAGAAATAAGGAGTGAGTCATGAATTATTTATTACATATAAATAACGAAATATTAACATGATTAAATTTAATAGTTGAAAACACATAAAATATTATTAAAAAATAATTTATTGAATTTTATCTATAATACTTCTGAAATATTGTTGAAATTATAGTCGACCGTTTTTAGATGTTTTTTGTTAAACAATGAATTATATTATATTCGTATACAAAAGTAAAATAAAATAAAATAAACCAATTTAAATAAACAGTTTTGTAGACGATAGACATATTATCCATCTTTAATAATCGTTATGATTGTAAGTGTTTTGCACATGAACTTACTGTTTTTCTTTAATAATATTCTATTACTTATCATAATTGGTATGATTGTAAATTTGTAACTTACTCGAATGATTGAATACTGATAATGATCACTAATTGGAGATTAAAGGAAAACGATAACCTTAATACTTATAAATATAAATAAAATGCGCAAAGTAACAGAGTGAAAAAAAAAACATATGTTTGAAAAAAACACTACCCAAATATTAATGGTTCTAATAATTATTGTATTCGTTAAAATTTTAATATTTAATATTTTTATCGTTTGCGTAAAGACGTGAAGAAATATTTTCTTTGATGCTCAAAATGCTCAAAATGCTTAAAAATGCTTTAATCCGACTAGCGACCAATACACACTCACACAACACATTAACACATTATATTATTATTATTTTTTTTTTTTTTAATAACAAACAATTATTCTATTTTATTATTATGCACATAAAATATAATATCCGTAACACGATATCATGAATATTATGTTTGCAGTATAATAGTGTCCTGCTGATCGTGTTGCTCACGGGCTGTTTGAAAATACAGCGCTGTAGTTACAATATTTCCGCTGAAGGCGATTAAAAAAAAGTGATCGGTCAGGTATGTGTGTGCCCGCGCGCTTGTCGCCCCCTTTATCTGTGCAATATAAGTTTCCACCACAGCCGCCGGTTCATTGTCACACAAGGACAACGGTGAAAGGCGAAATACATATACGCACACACATACACACACACAAGCGCGTGTGCAATCTTTCCGATCTCTGTGCTCACAAAACACTACAATAATATAATATGTACCAGAGGTGGTGCTTAGCTTTCTGTACATAATACGTTATGCTTATGACCTATTGAGCCGTATAAAATATTATTTAGTTTAAAGAGCAACATTATATGGAGGATAAGAAAAAATAAAAAAAAAAAATTGCATAATAAATTTATCATGTTTTAGAGCAATTTTTGTCTTGCGTACACACGCGTCACACAAATGTGTTAAGTAATTATCTATAGTCGGCTGAACTTGACTGGAATCCAAAAGCAATGGGACCTCCGGTTAGTTAATCATCGCCAAGGCCAAGCGTGTTATATAGATCACTATTCGAATTATTTCAATAATGTCATTTTTTTTTTTTTTTTTTTAATTACTTTGAGCCCCTTTTATCTTTTCCAAGGGTATCTACTAATATAATATAATAGGAAGTTCCCAATATAGTATAAATATATCGCTATCGATTATTATAGTTGATCTGGTTATCATAAATCGAGTTTAAGCCAATTATTTATTTATTATTATTATTTTTTTTTTTTTTTTGTTCATTTAGTTACCTATAGTTACTATGATACTAAAAAAAAAAAAAAAAAAAAATGTTTGATATAATGTTGTAAAAGTTTTGGAAAAATAGTCATAACATTATAATAATAATTATGGTAAATTTTTTAAATACTTATTCTATGTCATATATAGGTCTACGTATAACTAAAGATTTATATACCATAATAGTTATAATTCAAGACTATAAATTAGTTAATGATTGGGAGTAAAATTTTCGATATAATTTTATTAAACGATCTTGATGGAATCATTTTATTTTTCTAATAAAGTTGTCGAAATATATATCTAGTAAAAGGTAATTCTATTTAAAAATTGCAATATATCAAAACCTTATTTAGACAATTACAAGTTTTATCATCAAAAGTATACATAAAAATTGAAAGAATTACATTATTTCAGTATAAGCATTAAATACGCATTCATATGAGAGATAGAAATTGTTTAAATAGTTATAACTTATAATTTGATAAGATGTTTAAAATATATTAAAATATTAATACACACGTGTATTGAGAATAAATGTATAATATAACGGATTTTTATATTTCGTTGTTTTCAATGTTAATAATATATTGTAATTTGTATTTAGACAAATATATTATACGCGACTATTATAATAGATCTTTGTTCCATAATTAAATAATACAATTACATAATTTAAAATTATGGGTGTGTATATCTCACTTTCTTCCTCTTTCTCTCTCTATCTCTTTGCCTATATACATATATATGTAATATGTATGTATTATGTATTATCTGTTCATAATATAATCATATTTAATTAAGTCATGTGACTTATTAAAAGCATAAGCCGTACTCAGAATTTATAAAATGAAATTACGATTTTAAACATAAATAAAATGAATATAATTTATTCTTCGAATGGGTATTATTATATTTTTGGTGTTCAATAATAATTAAAACACTAATTTTACATCAGATTATCTTAATTGATAGTAGACATATTTTGTTGACACTTGCATATGCGTTGAATTCTCTTGACCCAATTTCGTAATGTATGAACCCAAAAAAAAAAAAATATGCTCACTAAATATTTTTTAATGCGCTGCTCAACAAACTAGTACAAGCTTATACAACTTACGAGTATGAGGCGTGGGAAGAAAAAATGATAATTATTAATTGCTGTCCTATGTCGTATCTTATGTCCAGTAACGTTTTTTAATCAGGTTTAATCGTGCGCAAGCATATACGAGCTCAAATAGATAATTATTTGCTAACATTTAACGTCCACATATGAGAATAAATAACTGATGATAATGAATAGTTGATTTTATTATTGCTTAAAGTATCTTATAGTGATGAAAAGATTTATTTATTTTTTTAAAATAGGTCAAATATAGTTTCTATATATATTAGTTTTATTTTGTTTTACATCAACATATGCTTTTCGGAATTAATTAATTAGAATAAGTATAGATGATTACAACTTACCATCAAAGTTGGAACATTTCAAATGACAAAACATCAATATAATTTTATTGTTTATTAAAAATTAATTGTACATCAAAATGTGTTTTAATTAAATACATTTAAATGTTATAGCCATTCATGAATTTACCATAACTTAAAAATATTCTTAAGAAATTTATTTAATTTTAATAATTTAAATAAATATAATACACAACATTAAAATCTAACAGATATAGTAAAATAATGCATTATTTAAATTTTAAATAATTAAGTAAATTAAATAATAATTAAAGTAATAGGCTGAAATGTATTTTCTTCTAAATTTGTATTTATAGAACAATATTGATAGTATAATAATTATTATCTTTGGAATTTATTTTTAAAAATTAGACGATTTTATAATTAATTTTTTCTTAAACATGTAATGAAATAATTTATGCTCGAATAATCTA